ATTTAGCAGATTTTAATAATTTATAAAATAAAATAAGTATTTTAATATATTTTTAATCAAAAAATTATCATTAATTAATATAATGAAGGGTATAAAACGAAAAATTAAATTTAGTGGAAGGAAAAAAAACCACATGAACTAAAATTGTAATTTACTCTAATATGAAAAAAAAACGTTGACTAACTTAATTAACTATAATTTGTCAGTCAGAATGATTGAAAGTGAAATAAAACGACAACCATAGTAACCAAGACTATAATTAATAAAAAAAACTTCAAAAAATGTAATTTACTCATTTTCATAAATATTACTATTTAATCTTTCTTTTAAGACATATATGTTTAAATGTATTGAAGTGTTATTTGGTAGATAAGAAGAGGTAGAGTAGAAGATGACATCCAATCCAGTGGCCACCATTTCAGATTTTGGAGAGGAGAGGAGAGAGAAACATAAAAGCAAATGGAGACACACAAAGATTGTAGACAACCACAGCCATAAGATTGGATGATAGGCTTATCTGCCATCACCAATCTCATCCACACTTGTTTCCATAACCACTATAAGCTTCCAACCTCCACACCACAAACCTTCTCCTGCAAACAGCTCAACAATGGCTTCTGCTGCTTTCTCCATGGCCAATTCATCCCTCCAGGTTTCTCTACCTGCATGCACTGATTTCCTCTTCAATTAAACAAGCTGTACCAATTTCTTTAAACATGTCGTAAATTTCACAGGTCAATGGAAAAGGGTTTTCGGAATTCTCGGGTCTTCGTAGCTCATCTGCGTCTCTTCCGTTCGGAAGAAAAGGTTCTGATGATTTGGTTTCAATGGTTGCCTTCCAGACATCGTTTGTAAGTGTCTGCTAATCATTCATCTTTGATGATATACGAGTATTCAATTCGATCACCAAACAACATTCTTCAGTTCCTAAAATGTATCAGAGTTTAACACTGTTACTGTTTAAAACGATATCGTTTGTCGAATATATATATATATATATTATATATATCCTTTTGAGAATGTATATATAATCGAAGGAAATATATGCATAGAAGGGATCCAAGATCATTAGATTCACAGACTTAATTAGATTATACGACGTAAAATCAGGTTTATAAGACGTCACAAATATTTAAGTTTCTTATATAATAGACTACTTCCAAACAAATATGTGTCGTAGGTAAGAGAATTACAATAGGTTTATAAGACGATTTTAAACGTCGTAAATAGATTTATATGACACTTTATATAAATATTATTTTTATAGGGTACTTTTGAGAATTGTATCTCGTTTTATAGGACGCTAGTGTTTATATGACATTTTTTCAAATAATGTTATATAAAAAAACTTAATATGTTGTTTTATTTCAAAAGTTTCCCAAAAAAACTACTTTAAGGGATTCAAAAGCGTCATATAAACCTTTTACTTAAACACATATGTTTTGATTCTATAAAAATAACAAAGTAATCTATTAAGACACTTAAATATAATTATTAGCGTCCTATAAACCCGATTTTATTAGCAGTGTTTGGTCTGATGCATGATTTTCTAAAAGTGTTATAATAAATTATTAGTTAATATGATGCTTTTGGCATCATAACAAGTTTTTAGAACTCTTTTAAAATAACGTGTCATATTAATTATTTTATAGAAAATTATTTGAAAAAGTGTCTTATAAACACTAGTGTTTCTATATTAAAAAAATGGGTTTATAGGCCGTTTCTCATAAATGTCATATAGAGTAGCTAATATTACAATTTACTTTAAAGAAGTCCTAAAAAATTGTTGCGACGCCAAAATCCATCACTTAAAACTTATTGTAACATCTTTAGATAAGACATTATATTCTCTGGTTCTATAAACGTATGTCTTCACATTACTGTATTAGAACATTTAAACATTTTGTGTCCTATAAACCTGATTTTTTTTGTAGTGATTTTGATAATACTACAACAAAACTGGTTTATAGGACGTCAACAATGGCTAAACATTTAAATAGACTTTTTTATAGGATTTAATTTATATGATCGAACAATATAACGTTCTATTTAAAGGTGTTTTACTAAGTTTATAGAATATTTTTGGTGTCATAACATCATATTTACAACATTTTTTCTACTAAAAACCATCATATTAGCTATTTTATAAAACAATATTTGAAAAGTGTATGATAAAAACAAATGTCCTACAAAAAAATATGTTCATGGAACATTTTTTTAAAAGTTTCCTGTAACATAACTAATACGACATTTTTTATTAAAAATGTGTTAAAAATTGTTATGATGCTTTCAAAGTTTTCTATTGCGGTCGGTCTCACTTGGTAATCATTTTTGGGGTGTTTTCTGTATTTTGAGAAAAAAAAAACTATTATCTCTCCTACTTTCTTTATTTTGAAAATACTTGTGAGCAAGTTTTTGGAGCGGCTCAAAATTTCCGGTTTGAAGAATACGTTGGAAAAGATCTAAAGAAAGAGTTTTTGGTGTTAGGTTGGTGGAGTCAAGGTTTCCAAGGGAGTCGTGGCTGAGGCCAAACTGAAGGTAGCAATCAACGGGTTCGGGCGCATCGGAAGGAATTTCTTGAGATGTTGGCATGGCAGGAAGGATTCGCCTTTGGATGTCATCGCCATCAATGATACCGGCGGTGTCAAACAAGCATCCCACCTTCTCAAATACGATTCCACTCTCGGCATCTTTGACGCCGTTGTAAAACCTTCTGGCGACAGCGCCATTTCCGTAGACGGCAAGATCATCAAAGTCGTCTCTGATCGCAACCCTTCCAACCTCCCATGGGGGTAATGAGTCATTCCTTTACTCACCGCTAGAAAACTGAGTGCTAGCGACGAACTTTAGTGACGGAAAACTAATCCATTTTTTTCTTTGACGAATTTGAAAATACACAGGGAAATGGGGATTGATTTGGTGATCGAAGGCACGGGAGTGTTTGTGGACAGAGATGGAGCTGGGAAGCACCTTGAAGCAGGAGCGAAGAAGGTTCTGATCACTGCACCTGGGAAAGGCGACATTCCTACGTACGTTGTCGGTGTCAATGCCGATCTTTACAACCATTCCGAGTCCATCATCAGTAACGCCTCCTGCACCACAAACTGCCTCGCTCCTTTCGTCAAAGTCATCGACCAAAAATTCGGTAATTCCCACTCTTAAATGCATACCAGCTTCTTAATTAATCGATAGTAACTAACCAAGATATGGTTGGAAATGCAGGAATCATCAAGGGAACAATGACCACAACTCACTCCTACACTGGAGACCAAAGGCTGCTTGATGCCAGCCACCGTGATCTCAGACGTGCACGAGCTGCAGCACTAAACATCGTCCCAACATCCACTGGTGCTGCAAAGGCCGTCGCACTCGTGTTGCCATCACTCAAAGGAAAGCTCAACGGCATTGCTCTCCGTGTTCCCACACCCAATGTCTCCGTGGTGGACCTCGTGGTTCAAGTTTCCAAGAAGACGTTCGCTGAGGAGGTGAATGCGGCGTTCAGAGAGGCTGCAGACAATGAGCTAAAGGGTATCCTGTCGGTGTGCGACGAGCCACTGGTGTCTGTTGACTTCAGATGCAGCGATGTGTCATCAACGGTTGACTCCTCGTTGACCATGGTGATGGGTGATGACATGGTCAAGGTGATTGCATGGTACGATAACGAATGGGGTTACTCACAGAGGGTTGTTGATTTGGCTGACATTGTTGCCAATAACTGGAAGTGAGCCTTTCCATCACTTGCTTAATTGTTTCCATTTCTTCTAAGTTTTCAAGTAATCTAAATTTTTGTTGCAAATATATAATAATATATATATATATATATATATATGTAATGTAAACTGAGTTTCCTGTATTTGGAACGATTATTCTGAAACAAAATAAGAGCTATCCAAAAGAATTCTCAATCTCAGCTTTGTGCAGAGGTTGGCAGGTTCCTATCCATAAATTACCAGAATATGTGGTTGGTTTATCTTTTGTCGATCAATCAATTCTTGACACATCATTATTTTAATGAAGAAAAATATGATTAAAATAATAAAATGTCACGAACTGATCGATTGTCGGGATAGGAAGGAGACAGTGACGTAGCATGTTTCGGTTGTATATAAATGCTTTTACTTGTGCAACCCAGGTGGGATATATATATTAGGTTGGTTTTAAGTTTGGAGATGACCAAATCTTATAACTTAAACAAAATCTAAGCAATGTACAAGATTACCTGTAGAGGGTACAAGTTGTTACGACTTATAATGATGTTGGTAAGAAAAAATTACCTTTTAAAAAGCAGAAGAAAACTGTTGGCTACAAGAATGATGGAAAAGTGGAACTGATAAATGCACCAAATCTTTTGAAAGCTTTAACCATGGTTCATAACAGAATGGTTGCATATGGAATCAAAATTCAAAATGGGGCATTACACCACTTTCTCTGAGAAATAATGGATGCATATGAAATCGACTAAGAGAATGATTACCTCAATTGACAGTAAGAGTGCCTTGGGTAAGCACATGGGACTGGACAGACAAGTGTAAAAGAATGGTAGGTTTTGTGGTTTTAATATATCATGGCCTACATATTTTGAGTCTCATACTATAATTGTCTAATGTCGCACCAAAAAGACGTGGGACAACAAGTATTTGGTTCTGCCCTATCCCATTTTGTGCAGCATACTACCAAACGCACCATTAAGAAACTATAGGACTAATACATGTCCGATCGAGCAGCCATCACACAACCTATTGATTATATATCTATAGCTGGTGTATATTCCATGGCACCAAATATGAGCTCTGGAGCCCCGTAATATCTTGAACAAATGTAAGACATTGCGCTCTCTTTTGACCTGTAAAAGAAATTAGAGAATGTAAACACAATATCAATAACAAACTAGGATCACATGAACATGTTTGTATGACTTACCAGAACTTTAGCACTTCCAAAGTCGCAAACTTTCAGCTGGTGTGTGGTTCACCTGAAAGTAGCAATGATGATTTAATACTATTGTCAATAATCGTTTTGTTAAGAATGACGATTTTAATATATATATATATATATATATATATATATTAAGGTTATTGGGAAAGGAATCTCTAAAAAATTTGCTTACATATCTTAAATCGGATGAGAGCTTGTCTGATTCTTGTGTTGTTGGTAGTGATGCTTCGGAAGAGTCTTTGGCTTAGGTTTCCTCATGACCAAGTGCTCAATCCCCTAGGGATAAGCTTTGTCTAAACTGGAAAAATGGAAATTTGTTAGGCTGAAGAAGTTAAAAAGAAGGAAACAGCGGAAGGAGTTAGAGAATGAGAAAAAGGGGATGTTCGGCCTATGCTTTGCATCTCTATGGGTATTAATCTGTCATTTCTTTCGAAGTGACTTACAACCTTAAAAGAATATGGAGGAAATTTGATGTGCAGTGGGCGACATATCTTTGGATGGAGAATCGGGAATTTGGCTTTTTAAATTTAAAAGTCAACTGGGGATGAAGAAGGTATTGGAGAATGGTACTTGGTTGGTGAACAAGGTTCCTTTGTTTATTAAGGAATGGTCAATCGGTGTTCCAAGGCCTAAATCTGAACCAAACAAGATTCCTATTTGGATTTGTCTACATGGTATACCATTTGAGCTATGGAACTAATGGAGAAGTATAAGATATTTGGAAAGTGGTGTTGGGAAACCAATGAAGTTAGATCATGTTACCAAGGAGCGATATTTGAACAAAACGGAAAGAGTTTCATATGCTAGAGTTTTGGTGGAGGTAAATGTGGATAGAGAGCTTCTGGAGGGTGTCAAAGAAAAATTGGGTGGTTTTCCTATTTCCACTATCCCGGTCTCATATCAACGGGAACCACCTCAATGTGCTCATTGTAAGGTTTTTGGTCTCTCTTTTAAGGAATGTGCCATTAGACCAAAATCGGATGAAGAATTTGTCGAATTGAAAGCCAAAGAATTACTTGAAGTTGATGCTAAAACGATGAATGAAAAGGAAAATTTTGTGGCTGAACTTACCCAACCTGAAGCTGAAGCACTGATCTATGAAGCTACTTTACTAACTAAAGTTGATAAACTACTTGAACAGTCTGAAGCTGAAGTTACAGCCGCTTAAGTCGTTGACAAAGAGATTCTCTCATATGACACTGAGCTTGAAATTAGAGCTTTCAATGCTGATGCTGGTGATAAAGATGAGGATGAAGAAAATATGATGAGGAACTAGAGATTCCTAACATTGAGTTGACTTGGGTAAAGACGATGATGATGGTGGTGGTGGTGGTGAGGAAGATGATTTCTTCATTCAGCCAAACCCAAGAATAGTAGTCAAAGGAATCTCCATCAGGGAACTAGAGTCCAGGAGGAGAGGCCCTCTCAAGGAAACCAGCAATCCTATATTGGCAAAGGTAAGGAATTAGATGAAGGAAACTTGGCCATACTTCACAAACCTGAGGGAGAGCTCATTATACCTGACGTAACCAATGCTTTAACCCTTTTCATCCCTCCTACTTCTGAACCTGAAGATATTGATCCTCAACCCATATCTACCTTTTCTCCACCCTCAAATACTCCATATACTTCCTTCTCCCACTCAAATTCGTAGCTCATCCTCTCTCCTGCATGAATCCTCTCCATGCTCTTTAGAGATTCCTTCAAAAGCTAAGGATCAACTTTCTCTCTCTCTCTCCACCATCTAGAATATGAAATTGAAGAAGCTGATGTTGATCTGATTCCTCGAAGACCTTCAAGGGCAAACTTTCTTATATATTATGAAGAAGAGTCCAAGAGAATGGCTCGGCTGATATCCCAACTCGACAAATCCAAGGTAAAAATTCATCTTGGTACCCCTAATGATGACTTCAACTTTCTTACTAAGTTGAGCGTCAAGAATCTCTAAAGGTTGAATAAGAGATGGAGTTACAAAAATAGAATATGAAAGAGAGCATTGAGTTGGAAAATTCTCTTGCTAATGAAACTCATGCTCGAAGGAAGTTCAGAAAGAATAATCCTCTTACTGCTCAAGCTCTCTTACTCAAAAAAGCTGAAGAAGAATATTAGAGAGAGAATTGGAACTGAAGGATGAAGAACTGAGGTGGTGTAGAGATAGAGTTGATAACAGACTAAATGATTAAAAGATCACAAACGTTACTATCTCTAGGCCAATGAAGGATATTGCTCTTCTTGTCTCATGGTCATCTTCAGGGAAAATCAAAGTCCTTTCACTGAATATCCTTCATATCTAAGACTAGGGCTGTGCAAAAACCCGCCGAACCCGAACTACCCGACCGAATTAACCCGATCCGAAACGACAAAAACAGACCCGAAACCACCCGATATCCGAATCCGACATATATCTCGGGTATGGCGGATCCGGTAAGGTCTCACAACCCACCACCCGAACCCGCCCGAAACCCGATCAACTCAAAAGACGCATCATAAGTCGTAAGATTAGATAGGGTTGTGCTTAGATTAGGGTTTAGTAGTGAATCGTGATAGTGAGTGAGGCGAGACTAAGATTGCACCCGACTCTGCTGCACCCGACTCTGCTGCACCCGACGGCCGACGCTGCTGCACCCGACGCTGCTGTCCGCTGTCCGACTCCGACTTTGCTGGCCGGCGACCATACCCAAAGGCCGAAGTCCCCAGTTGATGAAACCCTACTGATAGTTCATTCTACACACTGTGTATCAGTTTACAGGTTTGATTCCCCTATTTCTTCTAGTGTTCAATATCTTTACGCAAAGGAATAGTTGTGTATGTGTAATTCATTATTTGCAGATCTTATACGATCCGCGTCTTCCGTTGTATCTTAATTCCTTGATTCCTTCAGTCTTTTTGAATGCTAATCTTAGGTTAATGTTCTTCTGTGATTACACTGAAATTTATATCATCCAACACGAGACTGAAATATGCATGTTTTTAATTCAAATTTGTCGCATCAATTCCCTCTTATAAATCTTAATTTCTGCAGTCAAAGTCTTAATTCCAGTAAGGATCATCACAAACCTTGAATTCCTTCATAAGTTCAAAGTCTTAATTGTACATATGAGGTGCAGTGTTCTAACCTTGAATTCCTTCATAAGTTCTGAATAACGGCTTTGGGCAACAGAAGTTGCAGTTTAACTCCCTTTCGGCCACCAGCTGTTATTAGTGATAAACTTCACGTTATTGATATATTTTTAGATTGGTTTATATAATAACATAAACATATGCCAAACTGTTATTAGTGATAAACTTCACCTTTTGGCATACCTTTGCCTACTTTTGTTTGCGAAGATATCAGTGACAGAAATTGGCATACCTTTGCCTTCTAGCATATTGATATATTTTTAGATTGTTTACAATTGTAGATGGAAAAAATTAGCATGTCTCAGTCCGGAAGTAACAGTCATCATCAAGCTCCTCCTTCACAATCTAATCCTACTGTAAGTCAATCTATTCCGGAAAGTACTAGAAAAAAGAAAACATTAGAATCCAGATCTCAAGTTTGGGACCATTTTGAGAAGATTTTAAACGAGGATGGGGTAGTCATTAAAGGTAAGTGCTTATATTGTTCAAAAGTATATGCAGCTGAGGCTAAAAAGCATGGTACTTCCTCTTTAAATAACCACATGAAAGCTTGTTTAAAGAATCCACATGCTAAGGAAACAAAGCAGTCAATTCTTGCATTTCAATCTGCAAAATCTGAGAATAGTGATGGTGCTTTGACCTCTTGGGTTTTTAACCAAGAGGTTGTTTGAAAGATGTTAGCGAAAATGATTATAATGGATGAACTTCCATTTATGTTTGTTGAAAGGAGAGGTTTTAAACAGTTTGTTGAGGCTGCATGCCCTAGATTTAAGATCCCTTCTAGATGGACAGTTAATAGGGATATATTCAGTATTTACTTTGAAGAGAAAACCAACCTTAAGAAATTGTT